TACATTGGGTCAGTCAGACCCACCAACATGTTAGTGCAGTTTAGTAACGATACAAAAGGACCATGAAAAAAAAATGAAGAAACAAACAGGTGGATCAAAACATGTCTGTTCAGTGTGTGGGCAGGAGTCCTAGCCCTGCCCCTTAGTTGCTCTCTTTGAAGTCCAAGTTGTGCTCAAATTCAGTGGTGTGATTGTCCTGCACTACTGATTTGAAGAACTACTGAATCACCCAACTGATGAGCTCTGTTTCTCTTAAATGTAACTTTTTCATTTGTTGGACTGATGTGCGGCCTGCCTGCTTCATCCTCAAAAGAGCCCATAGCTTCTGAAATTGCAAGCTCGACACGGAAAAAGAACACAGCTTGGAATGAAGCTGTGTCAAACTGCTAAGTATTGTTGTTATTTCTGTTTACAGACAAGTTGGAGTTGTTCAACAGCTACCAAAGATGACCTCTGGGAAAATCCAGAGGACGAAACTAAGGAACAAAGAGTGGGGAAGAGCTTGGTTTGCTGCTGCACTCCTGACCAGAACATGCTTGTCCTGGACTCCTTCTCTGCCTTCTGACATCTGGTTCCCTACCCATCTTAAGAGGTACTGGACAACCTTCTTAATAAGAGTAGAAGATACCAGTTTTTGTTCAGATGCCTTGGGATGTTTCTAAAGCAATATGTTCCCTATAATTTTAAGTGTATGTGGGAGAAACTGTTTTGAAAATAATGATAAAAGAAGGGAAACCGGACTTGGCTTTAGCTTTTGCCTTTATTTTTGCATGTGCATTGTTATCACTGAAAGCCACAAAGTATGCAACTATGTGTCAAATATTATCTTGTGATAATGTTTTTTAACAATTGTTGTTGATCAGACTTCAGTGCTGGGTCTCGTATAGTTTCAGGATTAAATATAATCAAGGATTTCCTGGATTGAGTAGTCAGTTCAGACTGTGAGATATTTCCATAACAGTCAAGCACGGTTACGTGAGTATGAGTGCAGTGGAGGTTTAGCTCATCCCTGTTAGGTCATATCTCACATTTCTTGTTACCCCTCTGTAGCACTTGCACCTCACACAGTACTGCTACAGCACAGCCTGTGTGCTCTTTATTCTTGCTTCAGAAGACATAAGTAATAGTTGAACTCTGTGACCAAGGTTGTATTTACTGGCAGCACAAAACACCAGTGAACCAAAAAAAAGCTCGGGGTTATTTATCGCAAAATTTCCTGGTTCTGCTGTAAACCCACTATGCAGTACCCATGAGCACATCTGCTGTTGTACCAAGAGCCGGGGAAAATGGCAAACATGCTGTGTAATAAAGCTGTTGATGACCTTTCAGGACAACTAATTGAGTTATTAACTGGCAAACAAACACAAGTCCCAGGAGAGGCTGTGCCAGGAGGGATCTGCAGGTGGATCTTGACTCTTTCATACCCTTTAAGCTCCGAAATGGATATTGCTTTGCTTTCCAGCTACAAAGCACATAATTGCCTGAGGTCAAAAACAAAGAGAAAACAAATGCACAAGATGCTGTGTCCGTGTAGATTACATCAATCTAAATGGATCTAAGCTTGCAGTACTGAAACCGGGGGATAGTTGAAAATTGATTTCTTTAGGAGCAGGTTTAGATCTCACATGAAAAATAAACCTCACTCTCTGGAGTATTTGCATGCTGAGAGCATTATGTTTTTTTAAGAAAATCACAAAAGTGACTGAAAGGAGGTGGTTTGGGTTTTTGTGTTAATCAGTCCTTTGGAGATTCATTCCACAGAGGAAGTCTTTAGGCTGCCTCCTGTCCAAAGTGGTGTACTTGAAGGAAGCAACAGACATGCCAGAGAGGAATGCCATCATCTGCCTCGTGTGCTTCTCTGCTACATTTACATCAACAGCTGCTCTGAATTCTGCTTTCTGGGAGCAGGTAGTTACATTTTGGTGAGAAAATGAGAAACTTCTCTGGATTTATTGCTACCACGATGAAAATCACTGGTCGACTGTTTTTTTCTGTGTGTGCTGGTGGAAGGCAGCTATAGTATGCTCACTCTTTGGGGGTTGTCATACTTTTTATTTGTTTGTTCTAGGACTTTGTGGACAAATTAGGCTGTCCCTTCTGTGTGTGTATCACCCATCATTATTGCACTAAATAATGGTTAATGATATTTCCAAACAGCAGCTGTGTTGTGTGTCTCAAAACGTATTTGCACAGTGTAGGCAGCCAGAGGGATGTCACTAGAGTTGTTGCTGTAAACCTCTGAGTGCTCTTAGGAATATGCCCTGGGAAAAGGGCCAAGTTTGGCTGCCTTGCAAACTTGTGAGCAATTCACTCATTGATTTCAGTCTCTCCACACTGGGTTGAAGATGGGCTTAATGCCCTCTCATGTACATACACTAGAAACACCGTGTCTTCAGAATGGTGCTCTGTGTATTACACAGCTCGAAAACCACCTAACAGCCACAGTAGAGTGAGGAGTGGGAGGTCATCTGCTACACCGGGACAGCAGATGGAAGGTACTGTGCTGCTACAGAGGTGTGAAGTTCCTCAAACCCTGACCCAAATGTTCTTGCTCTGAATCTCACTGTATGTGCTCCTGAAGGGCAAATTTAAAGAACTGAGCACTGTGCTGTGATTTTCTCCAGGTTTCACTGAGAATTTCATGCGGTTGTCATTGCTCTGTCCATTTTAATTTCTCTGACTGAGACATGGGCTTCCAGGCACCTTAAGACATAGTTATCCTTGCTCCCATTCTTGGTTGAAAATTGATAAGAGGAGAAGGAGAACCAGTTAACTAGCAGTCAGATCAGAACAATGAGGTAATTCTCTTTTCAGATCACCTTAACATCAGTAAACACTGTCTCTTAAGGCAGTCTGCTGCATGCCCTTTTTAAAAAGTGATAAAAGGAGAGACAGGTAGCCTATAAATACTTTAGCTTTGAGTATCTGCTTTTTCAGAATATCATTTAACAATATGGGAAGGGTCATATGCTAACACTGAACTCTACAGCAGTATGTTGGGGGAGATGACTCTGTGTCCACAAGAAGACAGGGAGAAAGAGGTTGTACATGACTTGTGCAAAGACACTGATGCCCAATTCAATAGTTTACTTCTTATAGTATGTTTAATTAGCAAATTCTTATACTGTGTTTAACTCCAGTATCTGAGTTGGCCCACTGTTGCCATTTTCAGAGTCATTGGTGCCATAGAATAGAGTTATATATTAATGTATGGTGGATTATCCATTCTCCAAAGGCAGTGAACCAGAAATGCAGTCATTCCTACTCAGTGCTCTGTGCATCTTCTCTGAACTTTTTCAATGATTGTGCCTTTTTTTCAGAAGGTAGTTGGAGAAATGAAATCTGTGCTCTTGGGGAGAAATAATCCCCACCATGGAACTTGATGTGTGATACTAATGAAGTGCTACAACTGCTCAGAGAACTAGACTGAAAGAGGAGGAGGCAATACTTGCTAATTAAGTACTAGGCAAGACACATGAGGAGTTGAAAGAAGTCTCACCTGATCACAAAGAACATCTCCAGGTAAGTACAACCTAAACACCCTGAAAAATTAGTTTTTATTTAGTAGTTGTTCAAATACGTAGTCATCTCAAAAATTAAGGATACTATCTGCTAATGTAAAAACAGAAAAATATATATTGCTGTGGTTTACTCCTTTTTTTTTCCACGATTGTCACTTTTTTGAAGGAGGGTAGACTACCAGAGAGCAGTTATAGTTTTCTGGTTTGTATCAAGCAGACTGAAGAAGTAGCTTCTTTTGACAAGAAAATCTTCTAGGTTTGAGTGTGAAATTGCTGGCTAAGAAAAGTTAACTGACAGCCAATTCTACAAACATTTTACTGATTAACCATGAGCTCTGGAATCAGGCTTTTTTTACTGACTTGTTAAGGAATGTGATAAGAAGCAATATGTTATAAGCAGACTATGAAAAAAGAAAAAAAACTCCATCTATATCATTTAGTCTCTGAAGCTGAATGTATCCTGAGCACCATGTTCTCATACATACGGCTCTCTTCTCATACATACTTCACTCTTCTGCAAAGTGTTTTCAGGGTAATACACAACTACAAATGGTATTTTGTGAAACCAAATGTGACTCTATATTTAAGGACAAATGCAGATGTGGCAAAGACATTAGTCTGGTAAACAAATTAATAATAGAATGTGGAAAACCACTTCTGACTTATTCATGATACTTTGTTATCCAACTAATGCAAAGCAAATGCTGGGGGGACAGGGGGGCACAATCTTGTCTTTGGACATAAGGAAGGCAGAGAAAGTGGTGCAATGTGGAATATACTTCTGGTTAACGTTTATTACTTTAGCAACCAAGGCTACAATAAGGATGTTTGTCACTTTTCTTCCATATTGGCTGAATGCATAGACTCCTCACCCCTGCTTGCTAGCAACTACCCTGGTCTTGGGTAGTTATGATGGTTATATCCTGGATTCTGAGGCAAAAACCAGGAGCAGAAGATGGCATCCATGCGGCAACCAAATCTGTGTTTGCTACTAGCCGTGTAGGACTGGGTGAGACTGCTGTGGTACTTAAAACGTAGGAATAGTGGGTACCAGTCCTGACAAGTTCTTGACGTTTTTTTGTTTGACTGTTGGTTTTGGGTTTGGTTTGTTTGGGGCTTTTTTTAAACACCCAGCTGTTCATGGTTTCAAGCCCCTACTTTTGTTGGCCAGAATAGGAATTGTCAGCTCCAAGGGGAATTCTCTGAGAAACTTGTGGACAGATGAAAAAGCAGGAGACTTAAAAGGATTACCAGACCTCTAGCTTACCTGTAAGGAGAGGTGGGATAAAATGTCATAAAGAGGTGGGCTTGCTGCTCTGTATACACCTGTTCCATTTGAAGACAACAGCTCATCTGGGAATGTGCACATCATGCTACTATTAATTGATTTTTCTGTCTCTTGTAGGAGGGAAATAATAATGAAAAAATAGTTCTGATGGTTATCATCTCCAAAAGCCCCCATATATCTGCTTTTGTGCCATGAAGATTTTACTTGAATTTAAAGTGTTGCGGTCCCCGTGGAGCATCCAGACACTCTGCAGATTGTTCCACCAGTATCACAAGACTTTTGCACCTTTGAATTTCTCAGATTACGAAGCTATCAGTCGGTGTGAACAGGAAGTACCTGAGTACTTTAATTTTGCAAGTGATGTGCTGGACAAGTGGTCTCAAATAGAAAAGGTAGCATTTCTGACCTTGTAGATTCAGTATTTTTAGTGAAACTGTGTCTCTGTCCCCAAAATCAAGTCTAAAACCATCACTGGCTTCAGTGGGACCGGTATTTCCTCCTCTATTTCTATTTTAACATAATCTTACATTGCAGAGAAATGAAAGGCAATTTGCTTTAGCATCAGAAGGGAACACTGTGGCTTGTCCCCGTGACTCTGATTCAGCAGCGTGTGCAGTGCTGGGTTTATAAAAGCCTCCAAGTAATTTGTGAGCATTACAAATCAGGTAGGTATATGCACTAACTTATATGTGCCTTAGAAAAGGGCTCTTTTAAACAAAACATGCTTAATATTCCTGCCCTAGAATATGTAACACTATCAGATTCCACTGCCTGGAACATCCCAAAAACTGTGCAAGGAACTACAGGAGTCTTAGAAGTAACCAGTGTGCTTTTTACCCTTGCATTGTGTGTAGGAACGAAAGGAACCATCAAATCCAGCTCTGTGGTGGATAAATGGAAAAGGAGATGAAATTAAATGGAGCTTTGAAGAGCTGGGTTTCCTGTCCCAAAAAGTGGCCAATGTGCTCTCTGGGCCATGCAGTCTGCAAAGAGGAGACGGAGTTTTAGTGATTCTACCCCGACTCCCAGAGTGGTGGCTGCTGTATGTGGCTTGTATGCGAACAGGTGAATTGTATCATTCCTAATGATCTGTAGATTGTTTGTTACCTTCTATACCAAAAGTTGGTTAGCAGTTCATTTAACAATTACATTTCTTATTTGACTTCATAGCTTGAACATTTGACAATCAAAGGGGCTGACAGGGGTAGTCTCTTATGACTGATGGAATTACCTTCATGACTTTCCTTTTACTTTCTTGGCTTGTGTTAAATCATTTGATTTAGCTTCAACAGACTTAAGTTAAAGCTGCTAGTGTTTATTGCCCCAAAGTTATACTTTATACTGTGCCTGGGGCAAAGGATCTCAGAGAACCAGAAGCTGTTTTGTACTTCACATCTGCATATCTGTATTCAAGTTCAGGTTTGTTGGACTTGGTTTAGCTTCTTCTCATTTCTGAATTGAATGGTGCTGGTATTCAACAAATCAGGAGAAGGTATGAAGCAGTCAGGACTGAAAGTGAAAAATACCTAATAACTTTCCAATTTTATTGCACTTTCAGGTGTTATCATCATCCCAGGGACAACACAACTGACAGCACAAGACATTTGCTATAGATTGCTGGCTTCCAAGGCTAAGGGCATTATTACAACTGATGTGCTTGCTCCTGAAGTGGACTCGGTTGCATCCAAGTGCCAGTTTCTGAAAACAAAGCTAATTGTATCTGAAAGCAGCAGGGCCGAGTGGCTGAACTTCAGTGATTTGCTCAAGTAAGTGCCTTCCACCTTAACTCCATCATAGTGATCTCTAGTGGAAAATTTCTGATGTTGTTTAAACACGGTTGCACACTTGTGTCTCAGACAAACTACACAGCTTTGAGGGGGTGGGATAGAAAGCAATTTAGTCTATTTTCTATTAAGAAAGGGAATATTTGGGAATAGCCAAATTGCTAATTAAAAAATAAGTGCAGTCTTATGATGCCTAGGTTTGTTATATATGAATATGAAATAATATGGAAAAATGGACAGGAAAGTCTCTTTTATTGACACCTGTGGCCTATTTACCCTCTAAAGCTCAAAGAAAAATATTCTATACAAAAATTGATGATAATAAGGCTAAAGGCTAAAAAAGAGCACTGCAAAATGAACTTAATACGTTTAGGAATCCACCTGCCTCACTGCTGAAAAGCAGCTACAAAAATGGCACCCAACAGGCAGCTCTTCAGTGCAATCCATGGGACTGTAGAAGGCACGGAGAGGCAGAGTGGGGAAGGAAAGCAAATACCTTGCTGCAATCTGCCTACGGCCCAGGGTGTGATTTTACCAGCTGATATTTTGTTAAAAGCATCTATGTAGATAAAACCATTTTTTCAAGGTGGAATCCAAGCTCTTCAGTCACTTCAAGAATTTTATAAGATGTGCCATGTGTTCTCACAACCACAGGTGTCTGAACTAGCTCTACTTGTGCAGCTCACTGTACAGTCTCACTGCATTTCCCACTCCTCCTTCAAACACTTCAGTGTCACTAAACTAGAAGACAGAGGAAGCATTAACACTACATTCTCAAACCTCCCAGGGCTACTAAAACATTGTCAAGTCAGTTTGATGAATAGTCTTTCATGCTGGGCTAATATTCCATGGCTGAGTTCCATGGCAGAGGGTAAAATTGATTTGATAAAACCTAAATATTGTCTGGAACTGCCTCAGTCCTGCAGAGGCTGTCACTGGCGGTCAGGCAGGTAGCCTGTCTGGTTTCCCTTGCAAAGTGCTGTTGTCTGGCTCCAAGGCTGCTCAGCTGTCAGGCTCCCAGAGTGCCGGGCTGCTGCCCTGCCTGGCTCACTGTCTCCTCAGCTCACTGGCAGCCTGCCTACCTAGTGGGCTAACTGCCCAGACTCCCCAGCTCCCCATGTCCTCGGCTGCCTTAGCAGGCTGCTAACCTGGCCAAGAAGCTGTGGGGCTCCAGAGTGAGGGCTCCTGGGCAGCCTGTCTGCTTGCCAGCCAGCACAGGGAGATGGCTGGCCTGGGGAGACACCCTCCCATGCCCAGCCTTGCAGGCATGGGCAATAATTGCATGCCAGGCAAAACCTTCTTGAACATCAGTTCTGGCAGGGAAAAAGAAATGGTTTTGCTTTGTCATCCTAGTAAGAGATGGGAATATTTCCCTGTCATGTGCCAGATGACCAACAGTTTGAGCTTCCCCATAATTCCCAAACATGGCAAGGATAATAAACTAGTGGGACCACCTACCAAAAGAAATGGCAGGTCCTCCCTCAGCTAATCACATTAAAGCTGGATGATAGGCTTTCTGGGGGGGCACTTTGGTCAAACATAAGATGTTGGGCCTTTTGTTGGTTGTTAAGGGGGACAAATAAGAGAGCCAGGTGGCATTTTTACTCTGGAAAAGGTGGACATGGATACTAGTTAAAGAGCAAGATCAGCAACACTTTAATACAGAAGTAGCAATGCAAGAGTGAAGGGATCTCAGTAGTTTCTTATCCCTCACATCTTGCTATACAAACAGTCCTGCATATATTTGACACAAGGGATCCAAGCTAAGTGTGCCGAGTATCAACAGCCACTGTTTCACATATCCTTTCATTTTTTTTAAGGGATGCCCCTGCTGTTCATAACTGCGTAAAGACAAAAAGCCAAGATCCAATGGCAATCTACTTTACCAGTGGCACCACAGGATATCCCAAAATGGTTGAACATTCCTATGGAAGCTTTGGTCTGGGTGTTTTTCTCTGTGGAAGGTATTCAGCTTATTATGCCTTTACAGCTCTGAAATGTGAAGCAACCAGAAGAGTTTTTGTATGTGATAAATTATGGTAGATGATGGGGCTCCCACAATGACAATGTACATGTCATTTCTTTTGGTCTCTTCAGCTGAATTGTACCCAAGAAGCAAGGATCATGTTTGATATGGTATATGGCTCTATTTTTGGAACCACATGCCTGTTAATCCAGGCTAAATAATGAGTTACGATATTGTTTGATTTATCTTTGCCATCAGTATAAAGGCCAGGCAAAAGGCATTTATTTGAGCTCTTGAGTTTCAGATCAAATTCACCATGCCTTTCTAAGCAAAAAACAAAGAACCCAAAACTGCACCAACAAAACACCCCTCACATTCTTAATTTCCACTTGCAGACTCCCTTATATTGGCCACCTTTGTCTTCAACAGATACTGGATGAATTTGACTCCCTCAGACATCATGTGGAACATGTCAGACACTGCTTGGGTAAAGGCAGCTATTGGGAGTGTTTTTGGCCCGTGGTTCCAGGGCACGTGTGTTTTTGTACATGCCATGCCACAGTTTGATCCAGGAGCAATCTTAAATGTAAGAACACCATGCTCACAATAAACAGTTACTCATATTTCATGTTGTTTTCCAGAGAGGCCACAAAACTAAGGCTCTTAGGTTTCTGGGATTAGCTGTTTGAAGATGGCATAACCACAAGGTGATTATTCTTTGAACAGGAATATAATACAGGAAGGATTTTGCAGCATGACTCTTTTGGGCACAGGATATTACCAGCTGCTTCTTATCAGTAGGAGTTACTGGTATTACTTAAACCTCTCCCCTACTGTATTTCACTATTAGTGAAAAATGAGCAGAATTACATGTAAATTAATATTTTAAATACACTGCTGTGACCCTTAAGGAAGGCCAAGTCAGTACTGGAAAACACTGAAGATGAGAGATTGGCTTGTTCTAAAAAGAAATTATTTCCAAGCTTCTCAAGCCAATCTGAGTTTTAATCTAACACAAAGAGAAGAGTGCTGTTCCCAAATGGCTCAAAGCACCTATGTGGAAAAGTATACATCCTAACACATGGGGGTTATTTGAGGATTGTAATCTCATTTCATTTCCTTCCTAAAATGGTAGTTGCTAGTTTGATTTTCTTCTTGTCCTTGCAAACACCTGCTTCCAATGTGCATGGGATTTCACATCTCTGCACAAAATGAAGCTTGATACTAGAGGCTGCTTTACCCATGGTGTGGCTGAAGTGAAGGCTGGTGAATGAGGTCTTCCCCCTGATTTTATTTAGTGCTACCTGTCCCCCTCTCTGAGCAAATTTTCATTGCAGGCAGAAGTGATGTTAAAAAAATAAAAAAGGCTTAGCTCTACCTGAGTGACTGTGAATTATCTGCTGGTGTTATGGGTGAGAAATAAACATGTATCAGAAAACACAGGATCAGCCAAGATCTTTATTTTTCTAGCAAGACACCCATGTCCTGTGTTCTGTCCCAGTAAAGGAGGATATGTAAACTTGCCAGTCCAAAATAACCTTTTAATACAGCATTACTCACAACTTGGTCAGAGCTCATGAGACTTGGCTTTGAACGTCAGGCCCTTCGTCAGGACAGCTGAGGGAGTTGCCGCATGTCTAAAGATTTGCAACAGTCTGGTTCAGAAAGCGTGGAGCTAGATAAAAGACTGACTCAGGCAAAACGTTCAGAAGAAACCTGTAATTTTAGGTGCCTCCATTCTGAGCTGCCTGACTTTGTCCTAGGGCAAGATGTGGGCTTTACCAATGTTCCCCGCAAAACTTACACTGTGCCTCCAGGGCCAGGGTTTCATACCAAGCAATGGTCCTTGTGCTTCAAGCAAGCATCAGGATAAATTAGGTACACTAGTGATTTACTACAATCGATGCATCACCTCTTCACTGATATTTGGGGCACTGCAACATCTTTCCTGAACACTGACAGTGGCAGCAATTACTTTGCTTTCCATGTAAGTTAGGTTATAATTAGGTCTTGTAATTTGTGCACTAGTATGGAATAGAAGGGAATAGTTAGCAGCAAGTTTTTTTCTCAGAACAATATTGTTTAACCTTCTTTTATTTTTGTCAGACCTTGTGCAGATATCCAGTGACCACTCTGTGCAGCACCCCAACTGCCTACCGCACGCTGGTACAGCATGACCTCACCAGGTACCACGCATCCGTTAACAAGTGACTGTGCCATGCCAGTTTAAGCTCTTGCCTGTCTCTGTAACAGTGATTTCTGCAGGCCCTCACAGCCACCTAAACTCTGAGAGTGGTGGAAATTCTGTGTTGGACGAAGGGGCTTTTCCTTAGCACTGCAGATAGGTGGTGAAATCCACTCCTTAGGCATTACAACCTAGAGCAAATTTTGCCCTGCGGCGCTACAGAGTAAATACAGAGGCTGGTATTCAGCCCCTGAAGGCACAAACATGGCTGCATTGCCATCAGTTCTGTGTGTCTTCACAACTCACCGCTTCAGCAGCCCCTTTCCAGCCCCACTCCAACTGGAGCTCTAGGCTTTCTCTCAACCCTAACCCTAAGAGGATCCAGTGCATCCTGAAGGCATGGGGTCACACATACAGATATCAGGGAGAGCAGAATTTGGCCCTTTCTGTCCTCTGATACTCAGCAATGTCCTCTGTCTATGAAGGTACACATTCAAGAAACTGAGGCACTGTTTGAGCGGAGGGGAACCACTCAACCCAGAAGTGATGGCACAATGGAAAAGCCAAACAGGACTGACTATCTATGAAGGCTACGGCCAAACCGAAACTGTATGTTCAGCTTTTTTGTAAAGGATTACAACTCAGCTGTCACTTAGGGGACTTAGATATCTCATTCCTTTTGGTAAATATGAAACTTGGACATATATATTTGACTAAAAAGAAAGGTGACATTAGAATATGTGGCAATTGCCTACAAGAGGGTTTATTGGTTTGCTTAGAATTACAGCTTGGTTATGCTACTGCTTCTAAGACTACTTAAGCTGTAAAATATCTTGAACATTTTGTCCAAGACTCTCAGTGAAGTTTACAAATGTTTTTGCTGGTACAGATGGAAGATTTTGATCTTAAATTAGCTCAACAGTGGACATAGTACAAGAACAGGAATAGCTTCAGGAATGACAGTGAAAAATACATGGGCTGGCTGGTTGTCTTTTCCAACAGGGAATAGTATGTGCAAATATGAAAGGAATGAAAGTTAAACCAGGTTCCTTGGGAATGGCATCTCCTCCCTACAATGTTCAGGTATGGTGGTCCCCTTTCCCGTTTGCTGTTGATTTCACAGGAAGTAAACCACAAGAGTACAACATACCGTACAGTTTTCGGTACCATACAGTGGTATTCAGGGTAGGCTTTTTTGAGCTGTTGGCTGCTGGTTACTTATAGAACATAGCTTTCTTAAAATGGGAAGTTATAATCACCCATTTGCCTTTTCTATTGCAGATTATAGATGAAAATGGCCATGTTCTGCCTCCTGGGAAAGAAGGAGACATTGCTATCAAAATGGATGCCAAGCGGCCTTTTAATTTTTTTACTCGATACGTGGTAAGACAAAAGTGAGTTTTCAGAGAGCCAGTTGAGGTCTGCAGCATGGTTAGTATGTATTTATATCAACAGGAGCAGGTACAACACCAAAGAGCTGTGGCTCTTGACTTGACAGTGTTCTGACTTACAAAATTTCCATTATCTCCACCATTCTTCTGCAAACCTATTGTGTGATCTTCAGTTCTATATCTGCCCTTGTGATAAGTTTTCCCCTCCAGAAGCAGCAAGCATAAGCTCTTACATTCTTGAGACAGAAAATAAGCAGTGAAAGATACTATGGTAGTGTCCAAAAAAGCAAAGTTATCTCTAAGCTTAAGGCTTCTCAATATATAGAATATTTGTTTGTTCAACAGGATGATCCAGTGAGAACTGCTTCCGCAGTCCGTGGGAACTTCTATATCACTGGAGACAGAGGGAGCATGGATGCAGATGGATACATATGGTTTATGGGGAGATCTGATGATGTCATCATCTCTTCTGGGTTTGTAGATTTCATTAAAATGCCAAGAAATGTCTAAAAACCAACCATATACCTTTCACCTACTAAGCATTTAATTTCTTTCTCCCAGGTATCGTATCGGACCATTTGAAATAGAGAGTGCCCTGATACAGCACCCAGCTGTCGTTGAGTCAGCTGTTGTCAGCAGCCCAGATCCCCTCAGAGGGGAGGTAATCAGCAGTCACTCTCCTATTCATACAGTGTCTCCTGTGATGGAGTCCACCTCAACTCCCACTGAATTTATATGATTTTTAATATAGCTATACAAACTTTTCCATCACTTTACCCAAAGCAAAGGGAGCAGTATTTTCTGTATCCCATATTCTTTTTTTTTTTTTTTTAAATGGAAGTGTAATTCTTAAGATTCCTAAAAAACATGATGCTGAATATAAAAATGTATTTGTTAAGAACTGATGGACACTTTGACCCACTGCCTGGAAAATATTCATTACTTTAACAACACATGTTTACAGAAAAGGCCCTAGCTTCTAAGAACTTTAAAACAGTCCTTTACAGAACTCTTACAAATTTGGAAGCAGAGTTTGAGAATTCTATCATGTATTACTTAGGACCTTTACTAGTGTCAGGTAGAAACAGTCTTTCATCCTAATTGTAAATCTGCTTACACAAAAGCAAATTTTGCTCCAGTGCGCAGGTGTGATACAGCAAGTCTGTGTTGCAGGCAATACTCACTTATTCTCAATTAATTGCCCCATTTGTTAGGTTGCTCTCGTTTAGTTAATGTTACATTTATTTTTTATTTTCCCTTTGTAGGTGGTAAAAGCTTTTGTAGTCTTGTCTTCTTCCTTTAAGTCACAAGATCCAAAGAAACTGGCCTGTGAATTGCAAGTTCATGTCAAGAAAGTCACTGCTCCATACAAGTACCCCAGAAAGGCAAGTAAACACGAGTGTATTAAAAAAAAAAATAAATCCCAAACACCTATTTTAACCATGGAGGGCTAGAAACAAAGATTAGGCTCAGTTCAAATGCAGTAACAAACAAAAAAACCCCAAATATGTGCTATGCAAGAAAAATGACAAGTATAATTTTAAAGACTTGGGAAAATAGATACAACACAATCTAAACCCAAATTAGTTATCTCCCCAATCACAAATTCTTATTTAAATTACATAGGATGGAGACCTATACTGTTCTGAAAAAAAATTATAAATGAAATCTCCTCACTTTACTTTTTCTCTTTTTGAATCAGATTGAATTTGTCCAGCAGCTGCCAAAGACAGTCACTGGGAAAATCAGACGGAATGAACTGAGGAACAAGGAGTGGGGACAGAATTAGTTTTCATAAGCAGTCTTAAAAAGCCTACACCTATCAATTTCATTCATCATGGAGCTTTTCTATTACAACTGTAAGCACCAACATAGCACTGGATTTCACCCATTAGGCAGTGATTGTGTAATAATCACAAGGTTTAAAAACTCCAACTGTATGGTTTTTAAATGCTTGTGTTCTTGCTTAACACAAAAATCAAGCCTACTTAGCAAGGCATATGCAAACACATCTTCCAACCCCCTAACACTTTGCAGAATTACAGTACAAGTAGAAGCAAGTGATTACCAGGTGAAGGAGCAGTTTGTTCATTCTTTGAGACAAGATATTTTAACTCACAAGAAGCTTATCAGTGAGGAAATCACAATAGTATGTAATGAAGTTTCCAGAAATGGCCATAGATCTTGCATGCATCCAAATTAAGCACCCTGCTTGTATGAATCTCGAAAGCCTCAAAGTTTAGTAATTAATGTATTAACAATGAGTATTGTTAATTAACAATGAATGAAATTGCAAATTATGAAAAATCATAAGTAAAAGAATGTGGACATCTTTAAGACTGCACCATAGGCAGCACTGAAATGTCAGGCATGGGCTTGACAAATGGATGGTGGCTATTCGGCAGTTTCTTCTGAAGAACTGTAGTTCCTGTAGGCATACAGATGAGTGAGAAATAGAAGGGAAAAGCAAAGCCCCACAAGCTATCCATGAGTCTATCTGTGTCTGTAGTATGATAAGTCTTGAATTGTGATCACCAGCATCAGCCATCAATAAACATTCACAGCTGGCCTTCATGTCTGGTCTCAAAAGGTTCTTTCCTATGTGTGCCCTACACATTGCTGGTTTTACTTCACACACAAAAAGCTTTAACTTTTAAAGAAAATGCCAATGGAGGTAAGAAAGCAGGGTTTTAATAAATGGATGGTAAGGGAGACAGGACTGGGGAAAAGTCATCTTAATTTCCAAACTTCTAAAACAATTTTGAGAGAAGAGGAAAATATACTTTAAACACTGCCAAGAGACTTGAACACATCCTTTTCATTAAACCAAGACAAGTAACAAGTGTTATTCTTCAAGATGAGTCTTTTCCTAATAGCAACCCAAAGGCTTTTATGCTAGAAATGAAATACTAAAGCTAGACAGTTGTACAGGAAGCATACTCAAAACCCTATTAGAAAGCAGGTTATAGCTGCACTGGATTTGGTTGGTTTTTAAAAGTCACTGGAATATCAAAAGAGCTGCTGTAACAGACAACAGAAAGACTCACTACCATTACTTTCAATCTGAAACAAAATGAATACTGTAAAGCTAAAACTTAATTCCCCTTATTCAGTAGAGTATCATGGAGAGCTTCTTTCATAAGAAGTTTCCAGGCAGTATTTAAATTCAAATTTTGAGACCCAAGAAAAAAATAAAAACAAAAAAAGACTTTATAAAACCCCCCAAGGATAAAGTCTTTGGAAAGAGCAGCAGAAGGCTATTTGCAGTAAATTACTCAAAAGGATTCTGTTCAGTGACTATAGCATTTCCTATAAACCAGTAACTAGTTTATACACAACTAATGTAAACACACATGTAGTTTTTGCTAAAACCACCTGCAATGTTTGTGCTGTACTTCTACTGTTCTAGAACAGTCAGATCTGTTACTCTAAGTCATCTCATAGTATTCAAGTATTCTGACCACAGCAGTTCTTTCCATTCAGTTTCAAGACTTAGCATAATCTTGTAGAGCAATGTGTGTGTGTGTGTGTGTGTGTGTGTGTGTGTGTATAACCCTCCATCACACAGGAAATGATCAGTTTTGGCTCATTGTTCACACAGAAAAATGTATCCAAGTTCTGCAGTCACACAAGTTGTCAGATCACTTCCTTAAAGCCCTCTGCACTCAACTGTCTTTTTCAGATCTCTCACTTCTGTCAGTACTTCCCGACAGAGCTGATTCTGCACTGCCTTTTGGTTTCTGTAGCCATCAGATAAAACAAAGAAGAGTCAGTATATGTCAGGATGGCCACATTTACGTACGCATGCACACACTCATGCTTTTTGTGCTAGGTAAAGGCAATGCAGAACAAAGCCAGTGAAGAATGACAGCAAGCTTCACCAGAAAGATGATGCACCCTTGAGCACTCTTACATCTGCTGTGATGTCAGCTCCACCTGCAATGAGCATTAAAATTCTTACACATGTGGATCTTAAAAACAAGATTTCAAAACAAAACCCACTCTCCTCTTTAAAAAGCCCTTTCAGAACTCTAGGGCAACTTTTTTTTTAATAGGTTTTGACTGTGTTTACCTTTCCCTTCTACCACATTTTCTACACTGTCACTGCATCATTCCCTTTGGGCTCAGCTTCTATTTCACCTTGATTCTTGCTCTCTTGTTTTACTTCTCTTGAGCTCTTCTCCTCCTCCTCGGTTTCTGGCTTTACTACCTTCGAGTTCTGTTCTTCTGTCAGATTTGATGGTGTTTGTTGTGTTTCTTCTTTGTTGCTCTTCACCACCTCCTGTAGATTGTATTTTCTGAACAGAACATAGTCTCTCACCACACTCAAGCAACAGACGTTTTTTATTATTTCTACCACAACTGTATATTGTGGGTTATTAAGGTCGACTTTGTTTTCTGGATTAAGGCTGCCCACAATTCCTGTAAAACAAAATGTAGTTTAAAAGATGCTGCAAAACTGTTTCAGATTATAAGCATGCCCTATTGAAAGGATAAAAGTTAAGAGAGAGAAGGCAACATCCCCCTTAGCTGTAACCAATTACTCATTTTTGCAGTTGCTTAAAATAGCCACATGGAGCAGGACTCTTATAATATACCACCAGTAGGACCGAAGTAACTGAAAAACTATCCCACTGAAATTATTTTGAGTCATATATTCAATGGAAATAGTAACACATTATTTAAACATAGCATCCAAAGAGAAAGCCTGATAGCAGCTATTTCAAAGTACATATAACTGACACTACAAATTATATTCAACACTGTACTCTCTTCTGCTTGTCTCTTAAGATATCAACACCAACAATACTGATGTCAAGATTTTCTAAGTCTTAGAGAAGCTTTTTTAAGTCAAAGTTCAGATTTTTAAGCAACAAATATGTAAGCCCACTTTTGATAATCTGACCTATACTATGTATGCAGTTGTGGGTTGCTTATACACTTGTTCTTAGTTTGGTGTGAAATCCATACATACCTGCCAGTTCCTTAATTACTTCTTCCCTACTCATATGACTATTATTACGAGCTTTGTAAACAATCTGAAAAGTGCCCTTATTAGGGGCTTTAAACCAAGGCTCAAAAAATGTTTCTGTGTATTTTTTCATATCCTCCATAAAAGCCTTGCAAGTTCCAGAAATGGGTAGCATGCGCAGAATTACTCTTGTTTTCTTCTTTTTAGTGGCATGCATATCCTTTAATATATGGTGCACCAGGTTCTCAGGTTCTACAAGAAAAACAGCTAGGTTTGAGAAACACATTGAAGGCATTTTTTCCCATCTTCCCTCCTCTAAATAACAAGCTGGGGAAACGCATGCTTGGCTGTACTGCTGTCAGCCTCAAATCCTTTTCTGTAAAGAGTTGGTTTACTATACTAAAACTGGATAAACAGATTATTTTGTCAGAGCATCTCTTCTACATTTTGCGCCTCTGCTAATGACAAAATTCAGTGACAATGCTAAAGGGAATGGGAAACCCTGTATTTGTTTGGTACACTCTAATTCCTTGGAAGTCACACTCTGTGACTTGTCACTAGCAGTTCAGAGCAGTTTACCCCCACAGCATTACATGCAGCATCACTGGGTGTCCCACCTATGCCCCGGGTTCTGATGAAGACCACGTTGTTGGCACCACTCTCCACCGACTGGAACCGCCGCAGCTTCTGCTCCGTCGAGGCACGGATCTGGCCGACCTCCTTCTTCAGGGCAGCCTCCACATCGTCCTCATCCTCCTCCCTCTCGCTTCCAGAGAGCCGCTCCTCATGATCTGAAAACTTCACACAAAGCAGGTCTCTGGTGAGTAGCGAGTAACAGTGCGAATGACTTAACCGCCAGCAAGGGCCTGGAAGTGATGGGCAAGGGCCTTTTCTCTCGCCAACCCGAGGGGCTGCGCTGGGATTTGCTTACAGAAACCGGCATTTTCGTGTGCGTGGAGCACACGGGTTTTTTGACACAGAGAAAGGGAGCGGAGGCCTCACGGCGCTGCTCTCCCCGCGGCATCAGGGCGGGATGCGGACCTGGGGGGCGGCCGATGCCGCGCAGGGCCGCGCTCCCGGGCCTCGGGGCCGCCTCC